GGATGTGTTGGTTTTATTTTCTTTCAGAACCAGGAAGCAGAGTGACTGCAAGAAAGAGGAAGTGACTATTTTTAGATGGACTAACTTGTCAGAGCTTATTCAGCCTGTCAAAGACACAGCTCTGATTAAACTCTTGACTAATGTAGTTTGAGACATTAATCAAGTCTTTTGCCCGCTGCAAAAAAAGAACAGATACCTTTTGTAGTGAACACTATTATAAAAGAAAACATTTGCACTTTTCATCGTTGTCAGTTCTGTCCCTGTTGAATTAAAGAAGCAGTTGTTATATACTGCTACTATATGTGTGCTAATATTTAGACATTTTTTTCCTACCTTCAGCCTCAGTGCAGGACAGCAACACAACAATCACAAAGAAAAACATCCTAGAGTCTCGAGGTTTCTCTGAAATGCAACAACGTGGAAGTGTTTTACACCACTGACAGCAGAACAGGGTCAGCCCCTTCTCACAACTGCATTCTTCCTCTAAACAGACCAACAGTGCAAAAGTGAACTATCTGTGAGCTGTGCTAGTTTTAGCTCTGAGATAGCCATTGTTTCACAGTAACACTACCTTTGAGCAGAAAGAGACGACAAAACAGAAGCCATGACTCAGTCTGACAGTATCAGCCTGCTGGAACACTTTTATTGATTTCTTCCTGCACAGAGTCCAATCAGACCGATCAAAGCAGAAGAGGTAATATGATGATCTGAATGCATTTAGGCTGCAGGAATTGACTTCATGAAATATCAGATGTCTGTGGGTTTTTCATTGATAATGTAAAATTCTGGATTCAGATCTTGCTGGATCTTGCTGGATACAGTAGTTATGAACATTCCAAAAATTATGGACAACCAAAATTAATGAGAAAAGTTTATTTATTAACAGTTGAAAATACAATTTCTAAACCTATGATCTACCTGCAGCCCTCTTCTGGTTACATTGAAGAAAGTTCAGGGTTCAGAGATGTTAGTCCTGCATTGTGGAAAAGAAATCAGAAAAACACTCCAGCCGATCCAAGACAGAAGAAAAAACTTAAAAAACACAATTTTCTTTACAAAGTGATAGTCTTTATTTGTTATATCTTGTTGGAGGGCAGGAATAGCTCAGTAGGTAAAGTGTTGGCCCTGTGATCAGAAGGTCAGGGGTTTGATTCCCCTGAACAGCCACCTTGAAGTACCCCTGAGCAGGGTACTGCACCCAATAGCAGCCCACTGCTTCACGAAGTGAATGGGTTAAATGCAGAGAGGTATATCCCCACTGGGCTCAATAAAGCATACCTAATTAAGAGAAGCACCTGAGGTTATAACCTCTGATTGCTCTCCTCCTTCCTGATAGCAGGTTGTGGTGTCACATGTAAAAATGCTGCTGATGTGAGCGTGCTTTGTGCTGCAGGTCACCGTGAGGTTACACAAGTCTGAGCTGCTCGACACAGAATTGACGGTCAGGTCGACCGGTGACACTGGATCTGAGGGGGGAGGAGGTGTTTAAAGAAAAATACACATCAGTGGTTACTCTCCATCAATGTGTGACAAGTTGCAATACTTACCCTGAACCATGATGTTGTATTCAGTTAATATTGCTGTATCTTGAGGACCTATCACTTGTGCAGTATAAACTCCACTGTCTGCCTCTTGAAGATTCTTCAATTTTACAGAGTGATTTCTCACAGAAAACTCCTCAACCCTTCCAGAGTAATCATCACTGACTGGTAGTTCTCTACCAAGTGAAAATGTTATTAAAACATTGTCAACCTTAAATGTCCATTGAAAAATAAACAAATATTTTGGAATTTCATCTTCCTTCACACCAAGAAGTACATCCTTTCTCCTCTGTACAAACACATAAGTCACTGCACTGCACCATGGAGAGAATAGAAGTCACATAATAGAATATCACTGAAATATATTTTCAAGCATTATTAATCATTTTGTAAATTTGCACATAAGAAATGACACAAACCCATCCACACTAATATCACAATTATCACAGTTTTCACTTACAGTGATATTTTTAAAAGCAGTTTAGGATTAAAAAAAAAAAAAAAATCCTAATCCTACACATACAACTAGGATTTTTAAAAAAAAAAATCCTAAACTTATTTCTGGTTATTAAGACGCAACATTTCTTACCTGGTGTCTCGGTGCAGAACAACAGTGTCAGTATGATAAAGGAGGGCAACGTAAACTCTCTGGCTTTCATAGCTCCAATGTACAACATGAAATGTTTTACACCAACAACAGCAGCACATTGTTAAACCTGGAACACTGTCACGTTTGTCCTATTGAAACCGCACATTCTTTCATTGCCAAAGTGAACACATGAATGTACTTCATTGCCCTTTTTACACTTATTTAAATATGTTGAAAAAGTCTGATAATAAAGGTCAACCTTTTCCAAAAAAAAAAAGGTTTTGAATGCATATGTACATGAAAAATTATTAAACAAAACAAATTTCATTTTTTTGAGCTTTTTGAATGCCATTTTTAGCTCACTTTAATTTCAGCAAAAACAAATTACTTTCTTTTAGTTCTGTGTCCAGCCTTTTAGATTTCTCTGAATGTTGCTCGTGATTTGCCCCTTTTGAAAGTGTGGAATGTGGACAAAAAATGTGGACATTCCCTTCCAGTAAACGTAGAAACAGTAAAGGTAGAAATCTGAGTATTAATCCATTTTATTGTAAATAGCTCTAATAGGTTAGGTCTTATAGGGCTTACTGTTTAGGCCACTAAACTAAACCCAGTCATATGACAAATGCACTGATCTAGAGAGGGGCCAGTTGAAACTGGGCGAGTCTTTGCATTGCTTACTAGGTAAGACCCGTAGGAACAGAGATTAAGATTTTTTAAACACAGAGCCGATCCGGCCTTCCTGTATGGTCCCACAAGATCAACAAACATTAAAATAACACAAAAATACAGGTCATCCACTGCCCTCTGGTGGTGATATCAAAGACACATGTAGAATAGAATAGAATAGAATAGAATAGAATAGAATAGAATAGAATAGAATAGAATAGAATAGAAAAGCGCTTTAGTGTCATTGTACACAAACAACTAAA